AATAAGGCTAGTTTCCTGAAAGGTTATGATGTAACGAATACCTGCATGTTTCTTGATTTTCGCATTTGGATTCGCGAAATTCAAGCGAAAATATGAAAATAAGATTACATACCTGAATAAAACGAAGAATATCAGTTCATGTTTGTGCCAGAAAAGCATGTAAGCGACAAACAACAATTTTATTATCCACATATTTTTGTCCTTGTTGGTATAACCAATCAGGTATTTATCATGATGAAACAAGTTTCGTTCGTTTTGTTCGTGGAGTGAGCCAGTCCAGATAGAGATATGAGGCTACCAAATCAGTGAATATCTGGCTTACTTCAGAGTTCAAAACGAATAGTTGAACTAACCTTGGCATTTCCTCAATTTATCATGGAGCTACACTCAAAACTAAACATTTTTGCTGTTTAAACTGGATCGCCGTAAAAATAAAGTTGTTACCAAAGTAAAAAATCTCACAGCTTGAAATCGCAATGTTGGATCCAAATAGAGAAAAGATGGTCTTATGAGGTTTAGGGACAGTTTTTGCTCATAATTTATATCGAATATCATGGCAACGTGTAACTTTATCGCGCTCTCTGACAAATTTGTGATAATGGCTGCTCGTATGTACAAAATAAAGTATCAAAAAAATGTTTTCGTTAAATAAATCAGTTGTTGAATATAATTTTGGTTTTCCGAACATAGTTTTTAAAAGATTTCTCTGTAAAACTTCTATGTCATTTAAATACATCAGGTACGGCTCAATTAAGGCATGATATATAGCATTTTCTGTAAATAATTTTATATGTAACAAACCTTATTTTCTTCAAAATGTTGGCTACATGAATGTACCACCTCAAATGTTATTTGAAGGAAATATTTGAATAACCAGCTATCTTGCGAATGATGTGAACGGTAGAAAATGCGTTTTTCCAATTCACGGTTAATTTTCTAGTGTTGAAAAAATGATTTTATAGAAGTTACTCTCAATTATTCTCTTTATATCATACCAGTCTTGCCCTTTATATAGCATTGCCGTATCATCGGCAAAACTAACTATTTTACCTACACAGTTAATCTTGAATATATCATTTCCTTACTGTATGATTTTGATAGTTTCACTACTTGGGGCCTTTTGATAAATAACTTTGCATTAAAGAATATATTTTCCCACGAAAAAGTAATTTGTCTAGAATATAATAATAATAATAATAATAATAATAATAATAATAATAATAATAATAATAATAATAATAATAATTATAATGAATGCCTTTATTTCCAAACAGTTCTCAAAAAAAAATTCAGAAAGAGAAACATGAGTATTAACAAAAAAAAAAAAAGGAAAATAAGAAAAAAGTAAATAAAACAAATGTCGACTGTTTGAAAACCACAAGGGGGAGTTCACTATCTAGTGCTCTTCCACTCATCCCTTGAAATTGTAAGAATCATTATGCTAGTAAATACATCCATCAAGCATATACAAACATCAATATCAACAGCATGTATGTTTTTTTTTAAAATAAGATAGAAAAGTGAGAAATGTGGTAATAAATTAAAAAAAAGAAAGTCTAGAATAATATATAGATATACCCATACATACCGCATAAACAAACGCCAATATGAGCGACAATTAAGTTTGAAAAAAAAGAGCAAAGAGATAATGTGGTGGTGAATTTAGAGTCTAGAATGCAGTCTAGAATGATATATAAATACATATATGTACATTATGCATCATATGAAAAAAAAATATAAATAAAATAATGGAATGCAAACAAAATAAAATTGAAATTCCGCAGTAAGAATAATTCTACTTTATACATTCAAGGTAAGAATCACGCAAAACCGCTTTGAACTTGTGAATTTCATATGATTTGAGGTACTGGGGGATCGGATTGTATAGCTTATATTATATTATACGTAAATGATCTTTAATAAAATTTACTTCTGTGGAATGGAGCGGTAATATTTTGTTTCGAACGAATATTTACGGAATGGATGTATTTCTGAATGTTATTTTCTCGTAGAGGTAATGAGGCTGCCTGAGAGTTAAAATTTTATGATAAAAGCATATTGTGAATATCTCAAAACGATCCTTCATATTAAGCCATCGGAGTTGTTTCAGCTTATGACTAACTCTTTCAAATTTTCTTATGCCATATATAAAACGTATGCATGAATTCTGTGTTCTCTGTATTCGCATGAATGTATCACAATCTAAACATTCAGAATAAATTGGAACACAGTACGAAAACTGTGATAAAAGCAAGGTTTCGCAAAGAATTCTTTTGATGTCAAAATTGAGAAAATTTCGGTGAGGATACAATAATTTTAGAGCCAGATAAGATTTTTTGATACAGTTTGATATGTGCTCACGAAACCTCAGATTATAATCCATTGTTAAGCCTAAGTTTTTAACTTTATCACAGTATTTTAATCTAATATTATTTATGGTTATATTTAAATTCTCAATCACATAAGAACGGTCTTTACCAAAGATCACAGCAGCTGATTTATTTGGATTTAATATTAATGAATGCTCTTGCAATCTTTTAGAGAGGTTAGTCAAGTCACTGTTTATTTTCAACTCGGCAGCTGGCCAATCTGAACTAGGAAAAGAATGGTACAGCTGGGTATCATCCGCATAAACGTGTGACTTACAGAATTCCAAACATTTAAGGATCTGACTAGTATATATAGTGAAGAGCAATGGTCCAAGTATAGATAGTTGCGGTACACCTGTGGTAGTGGGTTTTGAACTAGATATTTCATTCTTCAGTTGTACACACTGTGATCTGCCACTTAAGTATGAATTGAAAAGTTTTACGCTGTCAGTAGACAATCCACATGACTTTAAGATAGACAGCAAGACATCATGGTTAATTGTGTCAAATGCCTTGTTGAAATCTAATAGTATTAAAGCGGTAGACTCGCCCAGATCATTCGACTGAATGATATCATAAGTTATTTTAGCAAGTGCAGTGGTGCTAACATATCTAACAGTAAACTGTGATAAAATGTACTATTGAATGCCTTTTTCAGATCGACAAATATACAAACAGAATTTTCTCATCAAGGATTTAATTGAACTACTACTCACTTCGCCATACAATACATAAAAATTAGTTTACTTCCAGTCAAGTGGAATCATGTAACAGAATGGTTGTATAGTTGACATAAATTGAATCTAGTGAGTGCAAGAGAGTTCACACTTTTGTTGTACACCTACAAGTGTTACCTGCAGCCCTTGCACATCCTCTTAAGAGACTGAAGTGTCCTATTTAGGTGCGCCCATTCCACTTGTATGACTGTTCTAAGAACTATTTGCAAATGTTCTTACCACCTACAATGTTGTGTAAAGGATACTATATAAAAGTTCTTGCAACACTAACAGGAGTGATAAATAATTATTGTCAGTCGGGATGTCACGTACTGCCATTTCCAGATAAGTGTATTAAAGCGAACAGAGAGCTCAAAATAAAATAAATAAATGAGAAGTATTAACACCGCTTTTACCGATATTCCATTTTATTGTCGCAACAACTACTAACATAACAAAGTTGTTGACAGTTCTGTTTCAGCACGTCCTCCCTTCAGGTTTGATGCGTCCCACGGGAGTAGTCCATGCTATCTCGACTACCCTTTGGTGGCCGTATGAGAAGATGACAGGCAGCTTGAGTAGCTGACCTTGAGACGAATGCCGCAATAGGGTCAAACAAGACATAACTTGATTATGAAATGTCGTAACAATTAGACTGATGGTGTGATCATCATCAGCAAAGTAGTAGAAGGACGTAATTAGTGCAACCAAATTAATGCTCGTTTCAAAATATGATCTCTCCACAATTCTATTAAATAAATGTGTGAATAATAGTTTTATGAATTTGGGATGCATGTTTGGCTGTTTTAAGAGATATACATCATGATGTAGTTCAAATACAATGTGCGATAAAAACTAAGGTTATATATAATCAAAATTCCTGAAGGGTGTAGGGTTAAACAAAACATTACAAAGTCAACCATTATTTATTCGTAAATTCAGTCCATTCTTTTTTGTTTCTTAGCTTCTCTCTAATCCGTTCCTCTTTTGATCAATTTCTGTTCTACTGTGTTCTCCCATGTTGCTTTTCCTTTTTGCTAGCACATTATTCTCCCAAGCCCATCGGTATGTTGTCACCCATACTATGCAAATGCCCCTACCATCTCCGATGCTTCATTTCTATGTAGTCCAGGCTACATAAAAAAAGGTGAAAAAAAGGTATTGCAGATATCTAAAAGATTTAAATGGAATGGAGCATGTCTTTCTAATCACAAATAAATAAAAAGATACAGTCAGATATGCGCTATTTTTTTATAAACATTGGGAAAAGCCCAAAATTCAGTATTTTGCTCGTATAATTTTCAAGTTAAATTTTATAAATAACCGGTAAACTGGAGACTTTAGAGCATAAAAAGACCTTTAATTTTGTTTTTAAGAACTAAAATCGATAAACAATTAAGCTGAATATGAGACTTTTTAGCAATATTGAATAAATGTTAATAAGAATTTTAAAAAAATTAAGTATTATTTAAAAAAAGTAGCTTGGCTCCTATTGATCGTAGCAGGTTTTTTTAAATATGCAGTTTTTTAACCACCTATCTAGATCAACTTGTTAAAACAAATTAAAGTTATTGTACATGATTATAACTATAAATATGGCTATTTCCTCAAAAACATTTTCAACAACAATTTTGTAATAAATAATGCATTTTTTGCATAGTTTCTTGAAGTTGAAACCTTCAGGAATCCATTTCACTTTTGTAAAATATTCTAGGGCCATATCTTGGTCCAGAACAGTTGTTTAAATAATTCATCTCTGGGATAAACAATTAGCCCTTTACATAAACTATTTTATTAGCCCTACTATTGTTATCGCAGTAGTTATAGATATTTATTCAATATTACTAAAAAGCCCCGTATTAGGCTTTTTTTATACTCCATCTACCACGAAGGCCTAAGGCCTAAACACCCATCTGGTACCGTGGGGCTATAGGGGGATACAGAGGAAAGGGGGAACGCCACACGGACTCTGGCGAGGGAACACTTGTGCATGCAACATGAACACATCCTGGCCCCGCCTACGAGATCCGCCGGGTGGTACCTCTGCGTTCGACAGTCAGAGACCGTCTACCACCTATGGACAATCACAGTATCCATAGCCAAGAGGAAAATTTCTCTTGGGACAGGATTCGAACCCGCACAGCGCACGGCGACTGATCAGGAGACCGAAGAGTCTGCTACTACGGCTACCGCTGCTGCCTAGGCTTAATTGTTTATCCATTTCAATTCTTAAAAAGCATAATTTTAGGTCTTCTAATGCTCTAAAATCTCCAGTTCACGAATTGTTTGTGAAATTTAATTTTAAAATTATACAAGCAAAATACTGAATTTTGAGCTTTTCCCATTGCTTATCAGGAAAACAACGCGTATCTGGCTGTATCTTTTTATGTATTTGTCGTCGTTCCATTTTGGATTGTCAGATATCTGCTAAATTTTTTTACACGAAATACCTATTTTTTTCTTTTATAATTTCATTTCTTATTTAGTCCAATTTGGTTACTCGTCTCAGGTACTTCATTCCAACTGCCTGAAGTTTCCTTTTTTGTTGTTGCAATAGAAAGCAGAATTCGCATCCTCATGTTAATATAGGTCATATATATTGTACTTATACACCGTCATTTTTGTTTTCTTGGACACCTATTTTTTATTAATAAAGCCCTTACTCATCGCATAGTACCAGTTGTTTGTCTTTCATAATACTTCGGAAATTTCTATTTTATTTCTACCGCCAGGTTCCAATGCAGCTGCCGGGCATTTAAAGGAGTCCACCTGTTCTAATTTCACATTATCTATTCTTACATCTCTGTTGACTTTTTCATTTGAAACAGTCATAACTTTAGTTTTAAGTTTATATACTTTCATACCATTTACTTCAAGTATTGTGTTCCATATTTAAATTTTCCTGCAGACTCGCAACACTACCAGTTACAAACACCAAATCATCTGCAAATGCGCACTCTACTCCACTTTTTGCAACTTCGTGTATCCAACAAAAATTGGTTTTATTCTTTGCCTACATTGTTTTATCAGGTCATCCATAAATACTTGAACAATAGGGGACTAAGGGCCGATTTCACCAACATTAATATTATCGACCAATAGGAAAATACCTTATCGAAATGCAATTTGACGGAAGCTTTCAAAGGTCTCAGAATGTCAGTGATTTCTATTAAAATGTTGAATAAAATCGTGAAAATTCGACTGTATTATAAACAAGACCACTCCTTGATTCCAGCACGATGTTTTTGTACAGAGAAAAGAGGACAACTTTCATGTATTTTGATTTATGTTATAGGTATACATTTGACCATCCGTTATCCCCTCAGCGAACGGGAATGGGAGAAATAATAGGTCGTTTTTCTAGCTGTTAAATTTGGCAGCAGGTTTGGTCGTTTGTTAATTCATGGCAATCTCGAAATTTGTTAAGTTCAATATACTGTGTGTATACGTATATGTGATCATTATAGCTACACATACCTGTTGAATTGTGCGGATTTGCAAGAAAATAGAATATAAAATGTATCCCAACCAATTCCTCATCTCTCTTTACATCATAATAGTTCTCATTTGTTATAAATTCATGGGTTAATGAATTTCTTCAAGCCAATCAAAACAGTATGGTCGTCCCCATCCTTAAACACCGATATGTGTAAAACATGTTAATCCCTACATCTCCGAGGTGCATAATGTAATTACTGTAGACATAGACCTAAAATTATTAGTAATTACTGAAAAATAAGAGCTAAAAAGAATTATAAATAGTGATAAAATATTGGTGGTTAATTTTTTTGACTGGTGACTGGTGGGGATACAATATAGGGATGGCGACGATAGACGATACATTGCTGTATCGACAACATCGATACATCGGACACAGAACATCGATCTTTACGCATCGATGGTTTCATGACGATATATCGATATCGAGAGGAATCATAAACATCCGTAACCCTATACCCCGAGTCTATCCTTAACTGTGCTACCATCTCTTAGCGAGGACTGGTAGCTTCGAAATTGAAAGGCCAGAAAGCTATTTAGGTGTTTAGTAGTATTTGAATATTATCATTACAGACGAGCACTGAGCCACTGAGTGGCCACTGAGCACTGTAGTCTTTTCTTCATTCTGTACTTCTCCAAGGGATAGAATAAAATAGACTGAAAACAGCGCGTTTAATGATTTTCAGTTCTCATAGAAAGATTTTTCCCTGCCGGCCCTTGACACCGTTTCGAAATATGAAATTCTTCAAGAACTAGTTCTGTAGTAACGAATTCTTGGGACATCATATTCCTGGATATTACTCGGTTGTAAGTTTTGTGGTATATACATAAATACTCATGATCAATTCACCAAATTCTCTTTTTAACTTCCTCCTTAGAACTCTATCAAAAGCTTAATCCATGTCCATGAACGCAAGGAACATTGATTTTCCTTTTAGTAAGAATTTACTTATCAGGTTTTTGATGGCGAATATGTGATCCTCAGGGCTTCTTCCCTTTCTGAAGTCACTTTACATTTCAGACAACGTGGGCTCGATTAAATTTCTTAGTTTTTTCTAGCATATATACGTAGGCTTTATAGACACCAGCGTTATTCCTCTGTAGTTGTTACATTCTCTCAAGAGCGACTGTAACTTTCTTAAAAAGCGGTAAAATCAGCCCTGTTGTTCACCTCTCGGGTATCCTCTGTTGTCTGTATGTTTTTTTTGAAGTATTGTGGATATCCATATTTTTCTACATTTTTCCTGTTGTCTTATTTATCCCAGGCGCCCCTCTTTTTTTAAACTTCTTTCAATTCCTCTGTTACTTCGTCTATTGTTATATCCTCTTCTTTTGCATCTTCGGTTTCTTGATGTGCTGTATATAGCGAGATATTATCTGATTCGATGTCATTATTCTGTGGGTTCAACAGATCATTAAAGTACTCTTTTTATCTAGCCAGTATTTTTTGTCCGCCATAATCACAACTATTTCTCGCTCCATCATCTCTCTTGCGCCAGTTGCTGGTTTGTCTATTTCGAAGCCTCACCCTCAAGATCATGCCCAAAATCACTCCATACCTTCTCCTTACTGTCTCTTTTTCACTTTATCTCGCTGGTTCTTGTATTCACCATAACTTTCTTCTGTACGTTTATTTAAAAATTCCGCCATTTTGTTTTTAATTTTGACTTGTATTTTCATGCAATTATTCCACCACGCTGTTTGCTTTTGATTCGAACTGGTTCCGCAAACTGATTCAACTGACGTTAGCACCATATGTCTCAAAGCTTCCCATAATTTTTCTATTTCCACTAAGGTTCTCACTAAGCTTTATAGTCACAGTTCGGATTGAGAACATTTTTTTTCGAAGTCAAAACAGCTAGTTATTTTTCTTTAGTAAAAAATTGAAGTAGGTTCGGACTGAATCGATATCTTTTCTTTCCATCTGTGACTATGTTACAGGGTACTGACTTTTTTCAGTTGCTTTCAGTTGTCTGTCTCCAGGACAAGAGCTAAACTATACTGACGATTGCTAACAAGTATGAAATATCTTATACAGTTGATTATGATCACAGAGATGCAAAGCCAACAGATCTTATTCAGTCTGAGTTTAGATTATGCAACCAGAGCTGGTAGCATGGTGGACACTAGGACGCCTTTAAGGCCTCTATGATTGTCATAGTTTTCTACTCTTCGGTGTCAGCGCTCCATTTTGAGGTTATGTTACAAATATCTATTTGCATAAAATCGTTCATGCTCTTGATTTATATCATCTGTTGTCAGCCAGAAATTTTCTACAATTCAAAAAGAAACCATACAATAGGAGAGCGATGACGCTGACAAGCAACGGAAGAAGTCTAGCAATACTTCAGCCTTTCTGAAGGAGAGGAAAGACTATGAAAATCTAGCCACCTACAATTATTGTAGGAACGACTGACGATTCGGCACTTATTATTATTAGGGTTTCCCTGATTGACGCTGGCCTCACGTTCCCGACTGACCCGCTTTTGGCTAATAAAAATTAAAATGCTCAAAATGCGATTCAAATGACCTCTATCTTATGTATTTTGGGTCGCCAAAATCGAAGACGAAGTCATTTCATATGTATCTGCCCCCGTCTATTATTGTGAGTCGCCAAAGCCGAATCCGATATATTATACATTGAATTATTTAGTGTCCATGATTTGCGACATGAGTGTGCTGAAAATCAATTTTCGGTATCGGTGGCTATATGCAAACGATGCTATCTACACTCAGGTAATTTGGAGCGTTAAATGTGTATATCGTCGTGAAACATACATTAAGGTGTCATGGTGCCGAATGAAGGGCGGAAAATTGATAAAAAACCAGTAACTCCAGGCCACCCGTAAGCCCTTGCCCTAAACTGACAGAATTTGAAATACACGCACTCAATTCACCTCGGAAATAAGCTTCCATTCGAATCGTTGACGTTTGACAATTTTTGAAGATATATTAGTCGTTTCTGTGATAAGTAGGATTCTTGTTAGTCACTCGGAATGTCGGCATTTCCGGCAGTTCCGGTGTCAACGACCAAAGAAACATATCAGAAGGATAGACGGGCTCACATTGCCGACTGACCCATTTTTAGACATTTTTGTAACACTTCTATACATGATTAGTGAAAATTGAAATGCTATACTATTCGTCATTATTCGTCAGAGCGGTCCGGTGGACCTTTGCTCTTAGTTAAAAGTCTCGTCGGTCTGTTAGTCTGTCAGGTCTAGCTACCCAGATACCAAACATGTTTAAGGGGAAAAGGGAAAGAAGGAAAGAAAGGAAGGAAGAAATAGAGCAAAGAAAAGAAGTAAATCATTCTAAATAGCTAAAGCATTATTGCTTTGATTACTCGAATTATTTTGTAACTCCAAAAAATGATTTTGATCGGTTTTGTGTACTGAAATAATTTTGGCTGAACTGAATTTAGAATTTAATTTTGATCTCAGTGCGAGGCGCGGCCTGGAATTTTTGCGAACTTACTCGACTGTGTAGTCTACTGAATCACGCAACAGAGGGTTGCTGTGCGATTCCGCTTGATTATAACGCCGCTGCGCCTGTTGTTTTACGTAATCCCTTAAA